TAGTGCGTCGCAAGCAGTCGTTAGGAGCTGATTTTTTGATATGATATAGGGGGTGGGACGGGAACATATTTGGTGGGGGTCACAAGTGATAACGACTGATAAGAGCAGATAAGAGGCGCTGAAACACAAATTTCACGAAATTCATAGTGCGCTTCGCAGCAGTCGTCAGGAGCTGATTTTGGGGCATGATATAGGGGGTAAGACGGGAACATATTTGGTGGGGGTCACAAAGTGATAACGACTGATAAGAGTAGATAAGAGGCGCTGAAACACAAATTTCACGAAATTCATAGTGCGCTTCGCAGCAGTCGTCAGGAGCTGAGATTGGGGCATTATGTAGGGGGTAAGACGGGAACATATTTGGTGGGGGTCAAAAAGTGATAACGACTGATGAGGACTGATAGGAACGATATGCGTACGAACGTAGAGAGAATTTCATTAGCGTTGTAATTGTAAACTCCTTCCGACCACTACGCCTTCCAGAGTTCCTGAGGATGAATGATATAGCTCGATTCACTATCCTTCTATTTTATAAAGCGCTAACTTTGTGTGTCGGTTTGTGTATCTGTGTGTGTGTGTGTGTGTGTGTGTGTATGTATGTGTGTCCGTCCGCAAAATGAAGTGAGTGAGAAGGAAGCTCATGGGATAAACAAACCGCTAACAAATCGGGTAGCTTACAGGATTTGAGATATCAATGTTTTGTAGCAGGATAGTTGTGATAACACTCTTAGGGCTATATAAACACCTGCTTAGCACACTTCCGTTCATTCCACATGGTGCTGCAGTGGCAGCTGGAGGGCAGTGGAGAGAGGAAGGGAGGATGAAGGGAAGCGAAAAATCTACCGTCATATCATGATTGTGTCCCTTCTACTGTATGAAACACCATTGTGTTGCATACGCGTCACTTCCAGGTGTTGGTGTCACAGGAGGAAGGGACCATAGCGGAGGATAGAAAGCTTGCGCAGGAAAGGAAGGTCCCGGCGGTTGACGGGGGACTAATCTGGTTGATAATGAATACTAGAATTCCGTTTTGAGATATTCGACCGCTAAATTACCTCGATACTCGACGCATAGTGGTTGTTTACATCATCACTTTAGCTGTGCACTTCACTGCGCTTATCAAACAGTGAGATACAGCCAAGATGGGCAGCCTATGCAACGGACAGTAATACATTTAACGAAGCAGCTATAATTTAGCGGTGAAACCTAAAGCTTCATCGATTGTCAGTTCTATCAATGCGCGCGGTAGCGGGCGGAGCTAAACTGGTATAGTATGTAAAGCGCTAAGTCTGTCTGTCTGTCGTGTGTGTGTGTGTCACGAAATTCATAGCGCCCTTCGGTGCAACAGTGGAGCGCTGTATTTTGAGTATGTTGTAGGGGGTGGGACGGGAACATATTTGGTGGGGGACCCAAAGTGATAACGACTGATAAGATCCGATAAGAGGCGCCAAAACGCCGATTTCCGCGATATCCATAGCGCGCGTCCCAGCATCAGTGAGGCGTTGGTTCGAAGAAGTGTTGTGGGGGGTATGACGGGAACATATATGGTGGAAAAAAGAAAGGGATAACGGCTGATAAGGGCCGATAATAACGATATGCGCAAGAATATAGAGGTCACTCAAAACCAGACTTAGATAAAGCATTTCATTTCAATATTCTTTCATTTGCGTTGTTATCATCAGCCCGAAATACCACTAAACCGCTATGCCCCCAGAGTTCCTAAAAATGTATGGTGTAAGTTCAAAAATACGATAACGAGTGCTGGATAATTATGTTTTAACATCACACACAATCCGACCGCTAAATTACACTGGCATTCGATGCATGGTGGTTGTTTACAGACACCACCACTTTAGCTCCGCACTCCACTGCGCGTATCAAACGGTGAGCTTCTGCTAAGATAAAGAGCTATGTTAGCGGTGAATCTAGCGCTTTGTCGGCTGTCCTGTCTCATCCCGACCTTCCGTTTGAATGCGCGCGGTAGCGTGCGGCGCTAAACTGGTATAATAAATAATAATGTATTTCTAAGTTGTCCTGTGTGTGTGCGAGTGGTGCTGCGACATAGGTTTGAGCGTCCGTTCTCTTACACGAATCATGCTATTCTCGCAGCATAGAGCCTTGTATTTTTGATATAGTCGGGGTGGGGAGGGAGCATATTTGGTGGGGTTCAGAAAGTGATACCGACTGATAAGATCTGATAAGAGGCGCTGAAACGCAAATTCACGAAATTCATAGCGCGCGTCCAGCAGCAGTGGGGCGTTGGTTCCAAGAAGTGATGTACAGGGTGGGACGGGAACATGTTCGGTCGGTAGACGGAAGTGATAAGGGTTGATAAGGGACCCGATAAATACCGATAATCACGATATTCGTAGGAACATAGAGACCATTTAAAACCATATTCTAGATAACAATATCATCTCATTTCGTCATCAACATAAACATAAAGTACCGTTCGACCGCTACGGTCTAAAAGTCCCTAGGAATGTATGATGGATGTTTAGCGATATACGATAATGGGTATTTCTATTTGCATTTAATCCAATGCATCAATTTATTCGATTGACCGCTAAACATCCGAACATCCATCATGGTTGGCCGTGTACAGAGAGCCCTTTACTCCGCACTCTAACCCGCTTACAGACATTGCTCAAAAATGATCGGTCCAGAAGGGCCAGCTAACTGCCAGTTACGATGGCAAGTTATTACTTTAGACGGAACTCTAAACGCTCCGCGCTGGCCAGCCTTTACGCAGCCTTCATTCATTCACGCGTAGTGTGCGGGTAGTCTAAACTGTTATACTCATATGGCTCACACTACGACAAACGTAAGACCGCTGAAACGAATAATTGTCAAGAAAAACACGCATGATCAGTAAAATCACTGGATCTCCCATTACTCATTACGTTTCAGCCAAATTATAGCAATTATTGAATCAAGGCCTAAGGGAGAAGTGTGAATGAGAACTTGAACGCTCAAGGCGTATTTTATTTTGTGTTTAGTGCTTGAATAATAATTTTAAGATAGCGACACTTTTTGCTTTCCTGTATAGTAAATGCAACATTAATACGAAGTTATTACGATATCATTATGCCTGCATTACTAATAATATACTCTGGCTGTGAATACAATGCATCACTAAGAAGCTCTGATAAGGAAAGATGCTCAAAAAGGAATAGATGTGGTATATTTCAGAGTGGTATCAGCTCGAGAAAGTTCATAGCTGTACCGCCTTAGGGTGGAGATAAAAATGGCTGTGCTCAGGTAAAAGATGGGTGATCCCAGAATGATTCCGATATCTTGCAAACACAGAGCCCAATTACCAGTTAATTCCTCAGATTGAACATCAAGGTGAACCTAACGTACAGCTACACTTTGAGTCTGTGACTTAATTATTATGCCCTCAAATACAAATAATTTCAAAATGGTCTTCAAAAGTTACAAAAAAATTCAATTTTGAGATGTTGTTTGCTCAAAGTTCAAAAACTTCCGTTCGAAAACTTGAAATATAAGGTAAAAATAGTACAAGAAAGTGAATAAAGTGAAGATAGCTTGCTGGTAAGCGGAGAAAATGAGGTGTGAAGGAGGAGCGTGGACGGATCCGATTAGCTTCAAATCGTGGTGGTGTCAGCTGTGCTAAGCGAAAGAAATGAGCATTCAACAATCGACAGTAGGCAAATGGATTTGTTCAGAGTTGGTACGATTGTTATTGAATCAAAGGGTTACGTGAAGAAGTGAAAACCTACGGATTTATGTGGAACTCGAGAGGCGAGAAGTACGTCCAGGGCTTGCATTGTGCGCTGTGCAAGAGAGCAAAAGAGGTGGCGTTGGCGAACAGCTGTCCAGCCTCCGCGACCCGGGGTGATGGAGCAGCGGGAAATACCGAAGTTTCACTTGTTCGTTCGCCTACGCTATGAACTTGGAAAGTACTTGGAGAATTTCGAGAAGGATCAATTTGAGCTACCTGCTGTGAGACTTCCGGGATGAAATGAAGCGGCCCGTAGATCTACATTCTAAACTCCACTCGCAAGTTATTAAAATTGCTCCTTCACTGTAAGCATTCCCTAGTTTGATCCTTTCGCTGACGGAAAATTAAGGCTGTTAGCATCAACACGGCCTAGCTGCCACTATTTGAGGTGTGAAGGGGCAGATGAGAAGGAACGGATGAATTTGGCACGATGAGCAGAAGCCCATTCTGACCACGCGTCTTTGCCAGTGAGGTTGAAGGTCGGCTGACCGTGTACGCTTGCAGTTTAGGGAATGAGGATGTTTTGCAGACTATACTTAACAAAACCTTCGTGCCATTCCAATAGGAAACTCTCACGCAGACTCTCGATCGATAATTGGATAAGCTGTAAACTGCGTAAATCAAGAGGAAAAGTGCTTCGATTGAGCAAACCTTCGCCTGATAAAAAGCAAAGCATAAAGCATTTGCCGTTGATCAATCCCTTTTTGGGATGCGGCACGCATTCTACTTCCATTTGTACATTCGTAGTGGCGTTTGAATGCGATGTGGCCTATACAATGACTTGCGGGGGCCAGCCGATGCAAGTCAGTGTTTTTATCCTCCCAGACAAGTCTGGTACCAATTAACCGACCCCGGAGGGATGGAAGGCTTGGTTGGCCCGGGCGACTCACGACCCAGGATTTGATCCCCGGACCGCTCGCGTGGTAAGCGTGCCACTTGCCACTACACCACTTCCGATGACTTGGTTGTCTTTTTTATTTTGCTTTTTCACCTCATGATCTGCAGTGTGATGTGACCGTAAATTAAATACACGATACGTACTACTGGATGACTGGAAACACTAGAAACTTTTTGTCGATCCCATTCCTGTTGCAAGCCTCTCACAAAGTTAGACCTGACATTTCGTTGATTTGACTGTTTAGGAAGGAACCATTGCCAGTTCAGACTCAGAATCTCAAAGTTAATGCTCTTATTCCATCATTTAGTAACATTTCATCTCAGCAATGTTCTTCTGGTGTCCTCTTGAAGTTTCGTCGGTTGATGTCCGGCACGTAACGTCAGCGACGTTGGCGTGGTGCGTAACCGTCCGCCGCTTACATTCGGTTTACGCTGAAAATAAGCACATGTTTCAGGTATAATTCATATGATTAGTGTAAATGCAAGCTTTCAAAATGGCGCAAAAAGGGTGACGCATTTTTGAGCCATGCTCAAGGGAATTAGCAATCACTGCGGTCATACGCGACGTAAAAATCAAAGGTTGTCACTGCTTCACCGGCAAGAAGTGAATAGACGGCAATGTTTCGCTGACTGTAAACTTAATTTTCCATTCGTAATGGTGCCCTGACTTCTAATAGCTGCAAAAAGGCTTTAGAAAGAAATCGCGAAAGCGTCCACATCGGACACATACACTCTCGTACGCGACCGCGTATCTCACAAGTGCAAGCTTATTTGCATCAGGTAGCATCATGAGCACCAAAAAGTAGACGTGACTTGGTCTTTTTTGTGCTATCGTGTCGCGTACTACACTGTGCAAGTATGAAAAGGCTTGTCAGTGAAAAACGGTGCATACATAGAAATTACCCCATTCTTGAAAAAATTTGGTGAAAAATCCTCACCGAGACCCCACTAATGCACATTCTTTTCTTGGTACAACTACGCTAGCCTAATATCGTTCATGGGAGCTCCAGTGAGCATTCCATACTTCAGGAAAACGCGACATACTGTAGTAGCCTGCTTGAAGACCACAACACTTCCAAAAGGACTTACTTTATCATTTTGAGGGAATGACAGCCGACCAATGTCCAGGTGCATCGTGAGCGTTATAGGCAGTATCAAGGGGCATGTGAGTAGCTCTGAAGTAGGTATTTATCGCCTTGAAAGGTACTAATTCGGATATTGATTTTGTGGTAAAGCTAGAAGGAGGTGACGACCATCAGCAGTTCACCACGTCAAATGATTGGCAAAGCAAGCCACTGCGCAGCTGCACAATGCACAGCAAGCCAAATACTGCACACCCCTAGTGAACCACTCGAAAGGATATGAAGCGATCAGAGTGTACATAAAAATTGGAAATTCTATAAACTTCCATGGCTCCGAATTTTGACCTTTAGTGTCCGGTCGCTTCCTCTCGTTCAGTTGTAGAAGAGTGGCAACGAGTCCCTTCACCTGTGCAGAGGCGTGGCTTCCGATTTGTGGGTAAGCGCACTGAAAATAAGAATCAAATAAAGAATCATACAACACTCTAGTATCCTTTCTGCTGGGAATACCTTCACCAGCAATGTTACCTGGTGACATATCCCTTACCTGTTTGAAACGTGCAACCCATGCCGATAAGGTGGCACCCTTCAATCACGTCAGAGTTAATCGAC